GAGTGATATCAGTGAAGCAGCAGGAAGGAGCACTAACCACGACTTTCACTTTATAGTTCTGCAGCAATGTGTCAAAGTGAAGACCACAAAGACTGAAAGGTCGTTCCTGTTGACCTTCAGTTGGTCTGTTACAAGTTTGGACAAAATCAAACATGAGGGTGAGATTAAATCCAGACCATTCTCTGAGCCACAGGTGAAAAATGTCTGTGACCTGCAGGGGGCACCATCACGATTCATATTTGGATGAGATAATGATTTTTAGATTTTTAAAAAGCCTGTCCCTGATGAGAAGCTGTGGTAGGATCCAGATCTGTGAGCCATAGAACAGGTACGAAGTCAGTACTAGCATCAGAGTCGATGGTTCACGTGAATGTGTACTTGTACTCACGTCTCTACAGAATGTACTGCACAGGTACTTTTGAACCGATTTAAATACATCAATACTCACTGTGCATGTTTGGCTCGGTCCTGTAGCTGTGCATGTGTGTGTAGTCCATGATCGTCAGGTGTTCGTCACTGGGGGGTGGACTCGGGTCGTAGGTCAAACCCACAGAAGAGATGGGGGAGACGAACTGAGGAGACATGGAGGGAGGGACGGCGACGGAGGAAGAGATGGAGCTGTAGTCCAGTGTGGTCATGTGCTTCGTGTGGACGCAGTGGGGACTGTCGTCCAGCTCAGGAAGGTCCACGGCGGTCAGACTGAAGCCCACGGGCCAGGCCAGGAGCTGCTGGGTGTCCACCATGTCTACTGCGGAGAGAGGGACAGAGCAGGGACGAGTCAGGCTGACGCAATATCTGATGTTGACTCTCAGTGGCCTTGAGTGAAGGAAAACAAGGCTGGAGAGAGTGAGGAGGAGAGGAGGGAGGAAGAGGAAAAGTTGTCCTGACATGTAGGAAAAACAAGAACCAGATTAAAAAGAAAGAAAACGCTCACTGCACTGCACTGCATATAGCTCAATGATTGACCATAAATGAAAACACACACACAAACGCACACACACACACACACACACACACACACACACAGGGAGTCGGGCCCAGGTCTTTGGGTCGGGGTCTGCAGCCTGGATGAGGCAGAGTGTTCCACGGGGAGAACAAGAAGAACCCAAAACAACGTCTCCCTCTGCTGCTGCCTGATTGGCTCCCTGTGTGATTGGCCAACCAACCCTAACCCAGGGATGCAGGAGTCGTTGACATCCAGTCAGCTCTAGAACCAAGGCCCAGTTTCATGAAATCAATCTTTTGGTAAAACAACAACAACAACTATTTTGTGTTGATGAAAACACGGGTTCCTTTGATCAGGGATCGTCAGGTTTTTATGTTTCATTTTACCAGACATGAAAGAGCAGGAAGTGAACCAGATCAGTCCCTGTGATGTTGTAGCTGCCTTTAAAAAACCAAACATCTTCTGAAGGTTTTATATGGCTTCCATATTTACATAGAAGCAGGCAGAAAAGCATGATGGGTAGTGGAATTTTTTTGTCAGTCAGTCATTTCTGTGAATAACAAGTGGGTCAAAAACGTCTTTCCTTTGAGACAGTGTGTGGATACGTTTCTGATCAGATGACTTGACTCTGTAAATGAAGTTTCTGGAACAGTGATAATCATCACTTACTGAAACTGCCTGTGTCTGTGTGTGTGTGTGTGTGTGTGTGTGTGTGTCTGTGTCTGTGTGTGTCTGTGTGCATCGTTGAAGAGTATTAATACTTTTGGCCAATGTAAAAAGGCTGGACTTTCCCTTTGACCCTTCAGATTAACAACCAACCAAAACTGACTAACCCTAACCCTCAGTATCTCAGTGAAACGCTCAGACATTGGAGGAGAGAAGTCAGCTGAGACTGAGGTCAAAGTCCGCTCATCTGAGGTCACTTCAGTCCAGATCTGTGATTCACTGGTGTTTCACTGCAGACGGCTGACACTGGAGGCATTATTCCTGAAGAGAGTTAGGACTAGCTGTGGGATTTATTAAAGTAGCCACGCGCTAACTGATGCTAATCATTTAAATGTAAACGTTATTGATCCCACACTGAAGAAACTGTTGGGTTAACAGACAAAAGAGAGAAATGAAATCTGGATTATTTCAGATGACATCTTTTCTGCTCTGTAAACAAAGTTTTGTCATTTTATTGGAGGAGTACAGCTCCACGGCTCGCTGGGTTTTCCACACAATACAGACGTGTAAATAATGACTTCCTACAGCTGACACTGTAATTAATAAATAAATGCAGGCTCTATAATTATACACACACACACATATTTACACCTGTGTGTGTGTGTGTGTGCTCTGGTCGTGTGCCTTTATAGGAACGCTTTTTGCATTTTATTTCTTGAGGGTGTGGCGAGTTGGGGGACATTTAGGAACCGCTGATTAAAGGATAGTTTTAGGGATTCAGTAAGTTTCGTAGTTCTATGTTTTTGTAGATAAATAGCACCTCCTGATGGGGAGGTAGGGCCACTTATATTAAACATTGATTCCATTAAAGAAAATTGACGGAGGACACTGGTCTCTGTCAGCACATTCTACTACACCCAGATCTACATCATATTGCTGGAGACGGCGTACTTTTCCCAAGCTTTTCCTTTTTTTGATCCAGAGTTAACCAAGCTTGAATCTGACCCCCAGATGAACTAATGAGCAGGAAAGACAACAGTTTATAAATAATCAGCAGCTGAAGCTGCTGCACCGTGTGAGCACACAAACAACCACACAGTCTAAAAATAAAACCTCGCTCTAATTAAAAGCCACTTCTTGACTTGGAAATCACATTTGAAGAAGGATGAGGTGAAATATGCAACAGGGCAAACCCAGAATAACAACAGTGCCATGGCACCGTGGCACAGGAATTCAGGAAAGGAGCAAACATCCTCCTCTCCTCAGCTACTCACTGTTTCCTTTATGTGTGTGTGTGTGTGTGTGTGTGTGTGTGTGATGTTGTGCACTCACACACTTCCACTACGTTGGACGCTGCAGAGGGGGAAAAACGATGACTATTAATAACCAATGAAACCTGACTGTTCATTAGTCCGTGGCTGCTCTCCAGCCAATCCCAACCTCCGACAGACTCTGGAGTTCAGATTGGCTCCGAATCAAAAAGAGACGGAAATCTGAAGGAGAGGGAGAAACCTCGAGAGTGACGAGCGGGGGAGGAAAGGGGGAGGCGAACTGAGTCGTAACAACACCCCTGAGGTTTTTCAAGAACAAAAAACAAAACATTTTCTTGAGCTAACATTTCTGTCACTCTTCACATCAGAACTGGTTCTCTAGGTAAAGGTACCTATGATTAGCCACCGTCCAGTGGTGACATCACGAGCGTCAGAGGACCTGGTGTAAACCCAGCACCTGATTATCAGTGTGAAAAACTGCTGACGCTGCTGGACTGAATCAAATCACATCACCCGCGGAGCAGACGGTAAAAATGCGAAATGATTTTGTTCTCACAGAAGAACTCCAGGAGAACACAAGGAGAGGTCAAACAAAGACGTGATGTGAAACCAGTCCTTCTGGGACAATGTTGTAAAATCAGTCATGTTTCTTCACATCGTGGACTCAAGCATCAGTCTGACTCTTTGGTTTCAACACAGAATGACTGACTATTCTTTTTTAAACAAGTGAATCTGGTGTTTCATTACAGAACAAGGAGGAATTAATACAAGCCTAGGGGCCAATCAGGGTACTACAGCCCCTGACTGCCGTAACCTAAATATAATTTTTTGTTTCTTCAGCTGTAGAATGTTTTTTTAGCTGATGTTTTTGCCACATTTGTAAGAACCTTTATCATTTGATTGATTGTCTGAGCTAACATAAATAAACAAAACCTGCTTTAGAAAATATTACAGTGTACATTCAAAGATTCGGTTTGCATGGAACTGCATACGATGACACCTAAATTAAGCTAACGTGGCAGTTAGCCTCGGCTATCAGAGTCAGATGACCTGAAGAGTTCTTTAAGAGAGAAAAACAAACAAACAACACGAAGGACAAGAATGTAAAAAATGTCACGACAAG